TCATAGGGCAACAGTCAGCTCTTAGTTTAACACAGGCAAAAGTTCAGCTGTTTGATGTAGCTTTTTTAATTCACTTTTTTAATTTAGGAAATTAAACATGCTAAGTAATTAAGTCACAGCACATTAAGGTTGTCTGCAAGGAAAATTTTGCCCTCTTGTGTATTTATTATGATAGAAGTGGTTAAGTGCATGGTCTGATATACCTCTTCATCTTTGTATTTCTGTTTGCTTTTACATTTTTGCATTTGATATTGCATAGAAGAGCAGAATGACATTCAGGAATGGAAAATTTTATGCACTGACTATGAAGCTGTCTTTGGGTACACTGGGTGCCCATCAGCTTGTGATAGTATCAAAGATGGTAATTATCTGTTTAAATACAGCTATGTCATCCAATAACCATATTTTCTAGTGCAAAACTTGCATCAAATTTTCTTAGTGGAAACAATTATTCTGATATTCCAGAAATACATGTGAAAATGGAGTGGTTTTCTCCTTGTACAAGTTTAGAACTGAGAAATCATTTACAGTGTGATGTCCTTAATAAAATTGTTGTTGTGGAGGTTCTGTTTTGGGGTTTTTAGCTATGTTAGTTTAAAGGAAAGATTTAAAGGGACTTGCTTTTTAAGCACACTGGCATTAACACAGACTACATCAGAAATATGAGATATTGCTCAGTCACCACAGGGGAGAGATTATTTGTTTGTTGTTGGTGCTCACTGGCAATCAACTGTAGTGCCAATTAGATGTGCAGAAAGAAACTAAAGGAGATCCCAAAGGAACTCAGTTCAAAGAGTGTTCCGCAGATGCAGTGGCTGACCTGCTGCACTGTCAGAGAAAAAGTACCCACTGAATGGCTGACAAGTCACTTCTTAATTTTGCCTTACAGAAATCAGGAATGGGAATCTAAAGGCCATCCTGGGCCTCTTCTTCAGCCTGTCTCGTTACAAGCAGCAGCAGCAGCAGCAGCAGCAGCAGCCCCAGCACCATCCGTCCCAGCAAGCAGGGCCTCCATCCCAGTGCCAGGTGGGCGTCCCTCAGCAGCAGGTACCAGCTCTGCTCCAGACTCCGTGCCAACAGCCCCCACAAGCTGTGCAGCATCAGTTCAAAGCACAACCAGAAATGCAGTCCAGGTGGGGAAATCTCCTTAAAGTTGGGCTTATCTTAATTTTTTTTTTTTTTTTGCTTCTCTTTGCAGGTCTTAAAAAGCCAAAGAAACTCCTTTATTTAGTTCTGCTCTAGAATAAAGTATGTTGGGAATGGAATGCTGTGTAACAATTGACTTCAAGCCTTTAGAAATCAAAACATGTGTGTTTAAATACATTCTCAGTGCTGGAAATCTGAAGCCAAATGAGTGTAACACCCCTGCTAGACCAAGTAACCACAGGATTGTAGAAGGATGTTTTTCTCACTATTCCTTTTGCTTCTTTCTACTCACAAAGCATGTTTTCCTTACTCACATTGTCTCCCTTAGAAAACATACATTTTAGGCATATGAAAACCAGCTTTAGTTCTCAGATGACAAGAGTTTCAGTCCTCACTAAGAAATGGAAGGGTTACCTTCCACTGTGGAGAAGGGTTACGCTGACAGTGGTAAAAGAAATAGAGCTCATAACGCCTGGAGGCAATCATAATCAAATCTAGTCTTTTTGATAAAAAATAATATGCTGCTGGCTTTACATGAAAAATAATTTTCATAGTTGGTGTTGGCACTCCTAGGTCAGAGTACAGACGAATAGAAAGGGGTTTTGTTCCTTGAATGTCTTTAATACTAGGAGTGCTCCACCCAGGTTGGAATAAAAGCAGTTTTCTGAGGCAGTACCACAGTAAATATATGTGCAGCCTTCTACTGGTCTGACCCTTGCACTGCTAAAACAGGGAGTGTTTAGTGGGGATAAAAAGCAGAATTAAAAGCAGAAATAATACTTGCACAATTACTAAAGGATGAAGGCTTTTTGTTTTTACATATCTCACATTGAGCCTTGTTTGTGTTAATACACCTTGAGGTGAACACCGGCATAAGTGCTGCCTTATGAAGTTTATAAATAGTTTCACTGAAGCCTTCCAAGTGAGACTACTCAAAGGTTATTTAGGATTGGCTTTTATGTCTTTCTTCACAAATTATGCTCATTTGGGTGTAAACAATAGTTTTGTATAATTGAAAAATGTAGTGTTCCTACAGCATGTATAAACAGGAAATAATTACTATAAAATAAAGATGCATTTGAAGATATTTCTGCAGCTTTTCTGTCAAACATGCAGAGATGCTGAATACTGTTTTGCTATTTTTAGTCCATTCTGTAGATTGGCCTGGGTTTCAAATAATCGCAAAATATATATATGTCCTGAAGATCTTCAATGTCATGTTTTCTTAGTATGTACTAAAGTCAAATTGCTCAGATTTCACAGAAAATACATATAATAAAGGAACAAGAAAGAAAAGAGGAATACAATTGGGGGTTGCATGCAGATTTGCATGTTCATTACTCTGTAAAAACTAATTAATTTCAGACTGTGGTGGTTTTAACCTTAAGTCATACTTGGGCAAGAAGCTTTATATTCCTGTGAAATTCATAAAAAAACCCTTTTCTCCCTAAAACCAGTTCACTGGCTTTAAAAAAAAAGTTTCTTTGTTCAATGTTCTCTTCCACTTTTTCTTTCCTGTCACAGTGCATCTCCCAGGGACTCATCTCAAAGCAAAATCATCCGATTCACTCTTGGTCAGAAAAGGTCTTCTAGGTTAGCATTTCTTCATCTTCTGCAAAGCATGAATAATCCTTTTGCAATATTTCTGGGTGCATGTTTAGGGTTCCTGTCAAAAACAGTTTGTAACTAAGCCTTTACAAACAGCTGAAACTGGAAAGTTTTAGATGAATTTAATTTTTTTCTCTTTTTTTTTTGAGGTGTGGAATGTATTTTGGCCCTCAAGGAAATAATTTGATTTTCTTGTTCTTAGGAGCTTTTGCTTTTGAGAACAAAACATGGTTCTGGGAGTTCTCACCCCACTATATTAATTATATTTTGATCTGCATTATTGAATTCATAGAATCATAGAATATTTTGGGTTGGAAGTGACCTTAAAGATCATCCAGTTCTATCCCCCATCTGAGCTGCATCAGGCTGGTGTCTCAGCTAGTTAGGAGAGTGTTGTGTGCATGATGTGAGCCCCAACAGCACTGTGTGGCTTTTGCTCATCAGAGCCACTGCTCTCCCCAGTGCTCTCACATTCAGCACCTGTAATCTGCTTGGAAGTAAATCATAGGTATTTCAGTCCATTTTTTCCCTGTATCCCAGCATGACTTGCATGCCAGCTTATCTGTCCATCTCATCTCAGTGATCGTAAGGGTTGCTGTGGTTATTAATCTAGTTAATAATCTTGTTATTTTACTATTATATTTAAATGTTTGACTAGAATATAGTTTTATATTGGTAAATTATACCATACCATTTTTGCTGAGCTTTGGAACTATAGTTTATGATTTTTATTTGGTTTGTTATAGGTTGTTTTATCTGCTGTATAATTTAGATCTCTCACATCTTATTTCTTATATGCTAACAGTGAATCTCTGCAGAATAATCCGTTTTCATGTTCTTCCTTGATCATAATTATGGCTTGACAGCTCATATTTGCTTAACAGAGGTGCTGAGGAGTAACAAAAGAGTGTTCTCCAAGCACAGTATCTTCTCACTAAATAGCAAGAACTATGAATTGTCTCCCTGAACCTGATATTTTTCCTTAGATTTCACAGGCACTGCTGTGAAGTATCTTGATCTAATACCAAAAGCAGGGCGTAAAAACAGTTGGTTAAACTACAGTGGGGGAAAAAAAAAATTAAGAGAAAGGATGTCTTCAAGAGCACTTTTAGTATGTTGATTTTTTATTCTTGGTATGTTTTTATTGAGAGTGACAATACTGACCCAGATGGAAAATTTATCAGTCCTTAAGTGGTCACATGTTTTGAGGAGCTTTGTTTACTTTAAAATGTGTCAGCTTTGCAAAACCTGTGGGGATATGTATGGGGAGCCTTTTCTTATCCATCAGTACAGGAAGATTGTCCCTTCCCTACTGCTGGAAAACTCCCCTCCCATACTGGGGCCCTCGTAGCCTGGGGTGGGTGCCCCATACTCAGTGTTTCAAAACTGGGTGACAACTTTGGGCTGAGGTACCTTGTAGAAAATCTAGCTTGTTTCCTGTCAAACAAAATGACTTTTCGTGGACTTCTTTGTCTTGGTGACTTTCTCAAAAGTTTTATTTGTCTCTGGTTGCCCTTAGCTTCTTCCCCTGTGGTCTCCTCTACAGTGGATGAAGCCTCTCTGGGGTTTTCTCATGGGCCCTTTGCTGCAGTGATGAGTATGGACAACTTTTTAGCACCTCCCAGTGCTGGAAAAAGCTGGATAATTTGAGAGACTGGTCTAAAAGTCAACCTCAGAACCATGATGTGCTGTGGTGGTTTGAGTTAGTCAATTAATTTTTGGGTTTGTATTTGAATGATGCCCTCATGTCTTAGACTCTTTTGAGCTTTGAAAGCATGTGCATGCAGCTGCTGACATTTTGGCTTTTTCTTCATGTTTCTTTTCAAATTTTCTATTTCTTCACTAGTCTTGGATAAATCAGTTTATTTAGGAAGCCCTGCCAGGTTCCTTCCTGGCTTCTCTTCCTTCTCTCAGGGGCATAATGGTGATTTGGTCAGTTGCATCCCCACTCTCTCTGACAACTGGGACTTCCTTTTACCTTACTATTGACAAAGTAATTTAAATAGATTTTTGTATTTTATATAAGGAAACTTTAAAAGGATTCTGTGTGTGAATAGTGTTCTGAGATGTGATGCCAGTGGCTTTCCTGATTCTGTCAGGCTTTTTAGAGAAGTTTTCCACCTTCCTTTTTGCCTCAAAAGCATAAAAGCTTGTCTATTTACTCCAGAACAACTACATTTTTTTCCTAGTTAAATCAGCTAAATCTGGTAAATACAGGCTATGTTAAGAAAATGCTGAAAGAGACAGATGCCCAGTTTAAACCAGAGGCTTATACCAGCTCACTGATAATGTGGTTACTTTAGGAGAGGGTGTTGAAGCTTTGAGTGATTTATATAGGCTAAAATAATTAAACCAAGTTAAAGTTTTGGTAGGCTTGGCTGCTGAGCTTTGGTAGTTGTCAGGGCAGAGATGTGATGTGCTTCTCTACAAGGGAAAAGGCAGTCAAGTTCCATCTCATAGTTATTTCTGAAATAAGGGTAGCCCTTATGTGGGCAGCATGTGATGAAGTGTCCAGCAGTTTGGCTTAAGACAATGAGTTAAGGCAATAGTGCCTCACTTAGTCTTAACCTTTTGCTGGCATTATTGCTCCACTGATTTTACCTGCAGCTATTTCTGGTTCACCAGACTTACGTCAGGTGACTGTTAATTTTGTGTCAGGGCTTTTTCTCTGAATTTTATTTTTCTGAATTGTAAAACAATTCAGACTGTAGCTTGTTTGAAATACACTTTTCATCTAAGATGATTCTTTGATTTGTTCTTACAGAAGTAGAAAGACACTTACGAGCCTGTACTTGGCTGTTGATCCTTTTATTTTCAGCTTATGCATGGTATCCCATAGTTTCTTGCCCAGAGTGCTTTTTACCTATGTTTAAACATGCTGTAAATTCTCCACCAGGCTTCCAGGTCCCACCACGAGGGTGTCCACTGCAGGCAGCGAGGCCAAAGCTCGTGGTTCCATCAGTGCCAACAACAGACGCAGCCAGAGCTTTAACAACTATGACAAATCTAAGCCTGGACTTCTCCCTCCAACCCCAACAAACAGCAATGACAAAGGTAAGCACTTAATAATTTGGATTTTTCTTAATAGTGGCTTCATTTGGAGGAAATTGGATTTTCTGTTAATCTCCAGAAGCTGTAACACTGTCTCAAAGTTGTGTGTTATAAACATGACATCTACAATCCAAAAGCCAGCTGTCTTTGAAAAAAGCATAGTCCTCCTTTAATATATCTGAACTTGTGACTTGCTGGCTTAAAGGTACATCCAAAAAATAACTTTAAAAAGTCATGGCACTGGTGAACCATGTTTTTTCATTTTGCTTCAAACAAGGGGGAATGAATTAATGATAAAATAAGGCATTTTGATGAGTAGTTTGACAAGAATGAAAAATGACCTCTAAAGATTTCTGCTAAGTTTTTATATGATAAATGTACCATTTGCTTTTATTTCCATCACTGTTGTGGAAGATCTTGTAAGATACAAAATTACACAATTTCAGTCTAACTTCAGGAATCATCTAGTGTTGTGTTTGAAGAAGGAACATGTTATGTTTTATAGATGTTGCAGTGAAATTATGTCTGTGGCAATGCATCAGAAACACTCAGAGCTATGCTGTGTGTGAAGCAGAGCTTTTTTAAATGACATTTACTGACTTTGTGTCCATTCACTAGTTTAGTAAGCTGACAGCATTCATTAACTTGAGCTTGTAGCTCTGAGTGGGGCTGGGGGGATGTGGCTGGTGAGAACTGAGCGCATCTCTCCAGTCTAGCATGGTCAAATTGTCGGCGCGGGCTGGCGGCAAATTCCACATCCCTAAAGCCATTCTGCTGACAAAGAGGGGCCAACACTGGACTTCAGCACAGGCTCCCTGCAGTGACTTAACAGTTGCAGCCTTCAGGCTCAAGTCTCCTTGCTGGCCGTGCAGAAGTTCTGATAACTGTAATGAGCATTTTGCTCCAGGGAAGAGCACTAGTCTGGGTCAGCTTCTGTGTGGTTCTCATGCTTGGCTCTTTCCAGGAAACTCTGGTCTTCCTTCTCTAGAAATTGTTTTCCTAGGACTGTGTCAGTAGGTTTTGGAATGTTACCCCAAAAATGTTAGAGTGGCAGTGGAGGATCCTCAGCATCCTCCAGGGACATTCTGAAGCACCCTGGTCAGATTTGATATAACAGAAAAAAATAAAATTCACCTCTGTATAATATAATTATTATAATTATATTAAAGATTAATGTATTAGCATAATAAGCTAATAATTTAGCAGTATTCTACCTTGGTAAATCCATGCATACTCTTTTAGAAGGTGCAATGTATAAACAGTAATGATTTAGGTGTAACATCAGCATGTAATAGTTGTCTCTGTGTCTGAATTAGGTCTGGCTTTCAGTTCAAAGAACAAGCTAACAGGTTTTAGTGTGAGCAGTAGAAACCTTGTTTTCCTGTATAATCTCTCTCCAGTCTCTTTCTTTGTCCTTCTTGTGAATATTCTTCTGCTTATGTCGCATAAGCACTGGACTGGGGAGAGGTGGGGTGGGATTTCTCTTGTCCTGCAGCATGGGTTGGTTGGCTGGATGATCCCGACTTCATATGGGATGTGTGATGTTATGCTGCATGGAAGAGAGGACTTCCAGCTATTTTAGCTTTTACTCAGTTCACCAAGATTACTAAATAAGGAAAGTAATGTACTGGTTTTAGTCTTCAAAAAAGAAAAAGAAAGAAAAAATTCTTTAGGCATACAGAGAAATAACAATAATTTGTCAACTAATTTAAATATCAAATGCTTTTAGATAGTCAGTCCTGGGAATTCTCATTCCTAGCTGTAATTCATCTCTTGAAAAGATAAACTGGTGGTTGGAAAAGCACAAGATGAACTGCTTTCTACAAATAATACAAAATGACTGAAGGAAACAAGGCTAGTTCTTAGGCTGGTAATCTACATAAGTTGCATTAGCTACTTGGAATTTCGCTCTGGTCAAAATTTCCAGTCATAAATGACAATCTTTTAAAAAAAACAAAAAACCAAAAACTTACGTAAAGTTGAACTTAAAAGTATAATCATGACACAGAGTTGGTCTGCATCCATGAGAAACAAAAGCAATTGGTCTGACAAATTTTTAGCTTATTTTGAAGTTAATTGTAACATTGCCAGGCAAAGTTTATTGTCAAAGTGCTAAGACAATTCAGGTTTTCTGGCCCGTATCCTGTGTTTTGCCTAAGAAAATGAGACATACATGACTGTGCTTTGTGCCAGGCTTGGTAGGTTTTCATCTCTTTACCCAGTGCCTGCTCCGTTGTGTGTTTTTGAGGAAAGAAATGGGAGAAAAAAAAAATCAGCCTCTTTTGGTGTGATTGGTCACTGTGATAGAAGGTGGCCTTCAGTGTTTGAATGTTTGAATCATTTCTTACAAAAAGTGGGTTGTAGTTTTTAGCTTTTATTAATCTGTGGCCTTTCCCCCTGAATGCAAACTGTCTTGTTAGTCAGTCGTCTGTGTCTTGTGGCAATGAAAGTGCATTAATTGAAATAGAATGCATCAGAAAGGAAGAGGACAGCAAATGGAGCATGGAAGAACAGCCAGCTACTAGGAAATAAATAACCTAGATTTTTTAAAAGATTCTATAAATCAGTTACTGGTGACACCACTGATTTTGTAGAAATCCTGGGGAAAAGATTTGTGTAATATCAAAAATGATTGCACTGTTGCAGAAAAATAAGGGGGTCTTGGTGAGCACTTGTTTGATGTGAGGTACACATGTGGTCTTAGCAAAGGAACATATAAAGAGATTCAAATCTTCTCTTCCCCACAGCTGACATTGTGTCCTCAGTATTTATTTTTTTTCTCTCAGCCTCCACATGCTGTCTGACTCTACTTTCGACATATAGAGAAGCGTTCTTTAGTAAGGATCACTCAGACACCTAGTTCAGTCCTATGGGCACCTTTGAGGTTAGGGCCTGATAGCATTAACTTGCTTTTTGAAATTAGAGCCTCAGTTTGTATATAAAATTCACCTTTTATAAAGAATTTACCTAAACTCACAGGAATTTCAGGACCCTCATTCCTCACATCATAAAATGATAACACACTGTAGTATGGTTTTTTATTTACTGTCACAGTGATTAGCCATTTATAATTGCAGTTACATTCCACACAGGGTATTTTTATGTGTGTAATTGGTGTTGCAGGCTTTTATTAAAGAAAAATGCCATTGAAGTCTTAATTGCATTTTTGTTTTGTGGGAAAATAAGCACTTAGGCTTGTGAGATTTGGGGTTTTTTATGTCATCCTAATCCCTTCATACAACTGGAGCCTTTTAGTTCTCTTCTGAATTATCAGAATTACTTAGCCCATGCTTATGTAGGAATAGCTTTGGTTTACTTCCTTGTCCTTTAATATCCTTGAATACCACAGGTCTACTATGTCATGGACAGCATCCCACAGTCACAGACACTTCCCACAGTCACTACAGAGCTCATATAAGTTATCAAAAATTTTTCTAAGGAATGTAGAGAGTCAAATGAACATTGTATTTCTATGCCTGTGTGCAGTTAGTAGTTACCTTGAGGCTCCACATTACCATGTCCTTCTAATTTCTAACAGGATCACCAGATAAAATATAGTGAAAATTTGATTTGCATATGCAATTTAGAATACATAAATCTACTTTTTATCCATGTCAAGGAGGAGCAGAACTACTCCTAGGTAGTATCAAGAATGAAACTTAAATATAATGAAACATACAACTTCAGTAAAGACTTCGATACAGTAGGTTTTCTCATGAGTTTATGTCAATGTTTTGCTTGCACAGAGTGGAGAGTCTCTTGAAAGATGCTCTGAAAGCAGCCTGCAGTTCTGCAAAATGGTGGGAATGTTTTTTACTAGCTCTGAACACCCTCATATACCCACTGTCTTCACTGTTCTTCAGGCACTCAGTTTGCATTTTGCAGTCTCAAAAGTCTGATAGTGCTGTCTGAGAATATTTTGCTTATTACTTGTGTCAAGTCTATAAAATCAATGAAGTTATGAAGCTGTAAGAGACATCAACTTAATAAGCCACCTTCACCATGTTGTACTGTGACAAGCTTACATGCTTTCTTTATATTTTTTTCTTCTGCTTTGTTCCTAGTATTTTATTTAAAATAATCCTACAGAGGGCAGTAGACATTTGTGGGAAAAATTACACCTTTCTTGTGGATTGAATGTCAGGGAAAATATTAGTAGGAAAAAAAGTTTTACCAGACTTTGCCCATTTCTGCTTGAGATCAAAGGAAATGTTTATTACTCAGATTTATAAAGAAGGCAGGTTGATGTCAGGTTGCTCTTAGTGTCAGAAAAAGGAGAAAACCCAAGAATACATGCATACAGATTCAGACAGTGAGGTGAAATAAATGACTGTTTTAATAGCAGTGTCCATATGGGCAGGAGAGTAAGAAAAGTGTGTGTTCCTCTCCTGTTTATTTTTTTTTTTTTTATTTTTATTTTATTTCTTTGAAATTTTGAGTAAACCCTTTTAACTTGGAACACTGTATGTATTGAATAACTGTCTTTTAATATGTAAATGGTAGTCATGTTCACAAGGATGTGTGATGACACTTCAAGGGGCACACTTTTCTTTAGGGGAAATCCTGAAGTCTGGAAATAGGAATGAAATTCTTCACTATGAGAAGAATAAAACATTGGAGAAGTTTGTCCAGAGAAGAGGTCAGATTTCACTTGCTTGAAAGTATTTAGGACTTGCCCCTAAATACCTCATCTCAAGTTATCCAGGCTATCCCCAAATGCTTTCAGGTGAAGGCTGGGAGGAATATCTCCAGAGGGTTCTTGTGACCTAGACTGTTACCATGTTTTGATACCCATAAATATTATTTCCTTTTAATTTTTTTGCTAAGTGTAAACTACTTAAATAAGAAGAAATACTAAGATGTTTTGAAGGACAGTTAAGGAATTTCTTTCCTTTTAACTTTTTAACTTCGTGCTATCAAAATTGAACTGACTACCATCAGTAAAATATTAGCAAGGAAATGTCACCCCACTCCAGTGAGCAAACTGGTGTACAGTTACACAT